TAGGTCTATTTCGGTCCCTCAAATATAATACTGAGCATATTTAGTCCCTTTAGTATGCTAAAGTGGAGCACCTTTAGTCTCACTGAAAAAATCTGTCCAAGATCAATTACGAGGTTGGTTTCGGCACTCACCGTCTTTTTAATTTACTTATCGAAAATATTTTATAAACCAACACCCACTAATAGTACAGAGCTAATAAATTTAAGATTTTAACGTTGAAACTTTTACTTTTAAAAATTTCGGTTGATTTTTCCAAAATGAAACGTTAAAATTTGGAGAAAAAAAAAATTAGAGCTGTCAAGATCACTTCTAGGCATATTATTGAAGCAAACAAATAACCAGATTGTATTCTCACTTTTAGCTCGCAGTAGAAACTATTTACATCTGGTAGCCGAAAAAGTAGATAAAATTTGTATAATTTTTATATATTAACCTGCAAATTGTATGTGTGTGTGTGTGTGTTTATATATATATATATATATATATATATATATATATATATACATTTTCCAAGGTCAAAATTTAGAAGATATTATCTAAAAATGAGGAATTAAAGTGATAATTTGCGTCATCCAATAAAAGGAGCGGAAACGTTTTGCTTTAGAGCTGAAGATTTGCTTCATGAATTAGAGTTGGTTAACATTGTTAGTTTTTGAACACATTTTATCAGTGAGACTAAAGGTGCTCCACTGTAGCATATTTAAGGGACTAAATATGCTCAGGGTTATATTTGAGGGACCAAAATAGACCTACCTTCAAAGATAAGGGATAAAAAGTGCTCCACTTCAGCATATTTAAGGAGCCAAATATGCTCAGAATTATATTTGAGGGACCAAAATAGACCTAAACTAAAAAATAAAGGACAATATGAGCCAAAAACTCGTTATGTTTCTATTCATTTATTCCTCTTTACAGCTATTATTATCTTGACTAACATTATAGTGGTACTGTGAGGTACGGAGGAGCAAAAAGACATGGATTTACTATTTTAATTGTCAAAAACAGAGGACTGTTTTTGTAACTATTTTTGGACTGTTGTTTATTTTCCAGACATGGCCATGTGACCACCGCTAACCCAACCAAATAATGGAGATCCATTCTCTGGTATCCCCATTTCACACCAAACTAATTATAAAAATAGCTTATAAATATTCAAAAATTTGGAAATTCTTTTTTTTTTTTTTGGGTGTAGATTAGAAATTCTTATTCGACAATGTTTTATGTAACTCTTTTTTACCTTATATTCTGTTCAAGGAAAAATGGTCAAGTTTGTCCTTTATGTTATACAAAATAGAACAAGTTTATCTTTCGATAATTTTTTAGCTAATTTTACTTTTGTTATTAGAATTTTTTTTTGTTTTTGTCTTTGAATCTAATACGAAACTTCAATATAAGAGTAATTTTCTTATCGTAAACAAAAGTTGAAAGGTAAAAGTAAACCCTTTTCTTAAAAAAGAATTGAACATATGAAGTCCATTCATTCACGTTGGAATTTGGACTGTCATTAATAATATAGATAGGCAGAATAGCGTGGGAGACACTTGTACTTGTTTCGGTTTGTCATCCCGGTCCCTATACTCCATAAAGTTTCATCCAAACACTTCAACTTAATCAAAACAAGACTTTTAAACACCTCTGGAATCATGAGATGCTCATTTGCTTGACGTGGATGACAAATCAGCATCCACGTCAGATTCTATGCCAAAAATAATATTATTTAACAAAATCTTAATTTCATAAACAAAAAATAAAATAAAAAGCAAAAAATTAAAATTAAAATTAAAGAAAACTCCTCCTCCCTTCTTCAAACCCACCCACTGAACCTTCTTAAAAGAATAATCCACTTGTCATGGCTCCTCCACCATGAGTACCACTACTTCCTTCACTCCTCTTTTAAAGAAAGTTATCTATCCATAAAAAATACATGAGCAGAGAATTAAGTCTTTTGAATTTTGACTTATTCCTCTACCCCAATTTGAAAGGGCTGTGAAAAAATTTGAAAGCTAAAACCACCGAAAAAAAAATGGAGGAGTCATAGAGAAGGGAAAGAAGGGATAAAGAAAGATGAAGAAAAAGGGGAAGGGAGGGGATCTAAAGAAAGATGACGAGGAAGAGGCGGGGGGGGGGGGGGGGTTCGGGTACAAGGAA